TTGGCCATTATTCTGTCTTCTTTCAAAAAGTTTCTGTTAATGTCCTTTGCCAACTTTTTGATAGGGTTGTTTGATTTTTTTCTTGATGATTTCCAGAGTCCTAAATAGATTCTGGTTATGAGCCCTTTATCTGTGTGTAGCATGCAAAAATTTTCTCCCATTCTGTAGGTTGTCTGTTTGCTCTTGTGACCGTTTCTTTGGCTGTGCAGAAGCTTTTTAATTTGACCAGGTCCCATTTATTTATTTTTGTTGTTGTCGTAATTGCCTTTGGGATCTTCTTCATAAATTCTTTGCCTAGGCCAATGTCTATAAGAGTTTTTACAATATTTTCTTCCAGAATTCTAAACGTTTCACATCTTAGGTTTAAGTCTGTTACCCAGCGTGAGTTGATTTTTGTGAGAGGTGAAAGGTATGGATCCTGATGATCTTCTACATGTGGCTATCCAGTTTCCCAGCACCATTTACTGAATAGGGATTCTTTTCCCCAGTTTTTGTCTGCTTTGTCAAAGATGGATGGCTACATGAGGATGACTTTATATCTGGGTTCTCAGTTCTGTTCCACTGGTCAATGTCCCTGTTTTCATTACCAAGCTGTACCAAGCTGTTTTCATTACTATAGCCCTGTAGTATAGTTTGAAGTCCAGTAGATTGATACCTGCCATTTTGTTTTTATTGTCTAGGATTGCTTTTGCTGTACAGGGTCTTCTCTAGTTCCATACAAAGCATAAAATTATTTTTTCTAAATCTGTGAAAAATGATGTTGGTATTTTAACAGGGATTGCATTGAATGTGTAGATCCCTTTGGGGGGTATAGACATTTTAACAATATTGATTCCTTTGACCCTTGAGCATGGTATGGTTTTCCACCAGTTTACATCTTCTGCTATTTACTTCCTCAGTGTTTCATAGTTCTCCTTATAGAGGTCTTTTACCCCCTTAATTAAATATATTCCTAGGTACTTTATTTTCTTTGGTACTATTGTGAAGGGTATTGAGTCTTTGATTTGGTTCTCAGTTTGACTGTTATTGCTATATATGAATGCCTCTTATTTGTTCATAATGATTTTGTATTCTGAGACTTTACTGAATTTATTAATCAATTCCAGGAGTCTCTTGGTTGAATCCTTGGGATTTTCTAGATATAATATCATATCATCAGCAAAGACGGAGAGTTTGATCTCTTCTGCCCCCATTTGGACACCCTTAATTCCGCTCTCTTGTATAATTGCTCTAGCAAGGACTTCCAGCATTATGTTGAATAGAAGTGAAAATAGAGGGCAACCTTGTCTGGTTCCAGTTCTAAGTGGGAATGGTTTCAATTTTTCCCCATTCAGTATGATGTTGCCTGTGGTTTTGTCATTTACGGCTTGTATCATTTTTAGGTAAGTGCCATCCATGCCTATTTTGTTAAGCGTTCTTGTCATAAAAGGGTGTTGAATTTTTTCAAATGCTTTTTCTGCATCTATTGAGAGGATCCTATGGTCTTTGTTTTTGCTTCTATGTATAACGTTAATTACAATTATAGATTTGCCTATGTTTAACCATCACTTAATCTCTGGGATGAAGCCCACTTGGTCGTGATGGATTATGTCGTTGATAAGCACCTGGATTCGGTTTGCTAGGATTTAGTTGAGAACTTTGCATCTGTATTCATAAGGGATATTGGTCAGTAGTTTTCTTTTTTTGTTGCGTCCTTTCCTGGTTTTGGTATCAGTGTTATGTGGATTCATAAAATGTGTTGGAGAGGACTCCATCCTTCATGACATTGTGGAATAATTTCTTCAAAAATCCCCAATCTTTATCACAATGTGATAACACCTCCACAATGAAGTGTGGCCTGTCCTTCTTCAGATTTCAACACTGCTCCCATTACACTCCCTGCCGCCTTGGGCACCTTACGTGTCAGAGACACTGACTGTACTATTTCTTTAAGAGAACATGTTGTTACATGATTAACCTAATTCTTTACTTTTTCTTTTCCTTTGATATTATTTTTACATTTTCTTTATCCATAATGTACTTTTTCGTTTGTACACCTGGAAATCTTGTATTCATTTTTCCATTCACAACTCATGCACCATTTCTTCCATGCAGACTTCACTTACCTGTCCAGCAAAAGTAGGTGCTTCTTCCTCTGAAATCTGAGTGCAATTTCAGGGAAGTTTCATGGGTATTCTAATCTACTATCTAGAAAACATAGCCCCTCTCAGTGTCCTATATTGTGCATTTCTCATTTTATTCCTAAAACTACTAATGAATAATTTTGCTGAAATTTACTCAAATCTAGGTCATCCAAAAACCAAGGCTTTTATAACTCATGGTGGAATCAATGGTATCTATGAGGCCATCTACCACGGGGTCCCTATGGTGGGTATTCCTTTGTTTTGGGATCAACCAGACAACATTGTTCACATGAAAGCCAAGGGAGCAGCTGTTAGACTGGACTTCAACACAATGTCAAGTACAGATTTGCTCAATGCTTTGAAAACAGTCATTAATGACCCTTTGTGAGTATACTAATTCTTTTAGTAAGTGGTATTTATAGATATGTTCTGTTGTCAACAACGAAGATTACATTCATCCTTTTTGTTGGTTGATTAACTTTGAAACAATTTAAATGTTTTAAGCAACATGAAATCAGCTTTTATTTTTCACCAGTTATTTCATGATTGCATTGAACACTATAAATTTAATGGGTAACAAATTATTGTGAAAAGGTTCTATGTAAAAATAACTTCAGACATATAGATAAGTATAAAGAGGATTAATTTTAAAAAAATAAGCCAGAAGTCACAGTAAACAGGAGTAATGAACTTAGAAATATGATAAACTATTTTTATTGAATTCCTAAAATTTCTGAATGTATTACTTTCTCTTACTCAAAAATTTACTTTCATATTATTATTATTTTAATAGATTTGATAATGACAAATAATTTACAATGTATAAAATTCACCTTTTTAGAGTATAAAATTTAAATATTTTTATTATGTTCATTGAGTTTTGAAGCCATCCTAATAAAATAATTATAGAACTTTTTATCAACCCAAAATTAACTTCATAAGGTATTGATTCCTTTTCCCATAAGCTCCGAAACCTAGGGCTATACCAGTTTTTTTCTCTATGGATTACCCTCTCTAGAAATCTTTCATAAATGGAATCATACAATTTATAATGTTTTCTAAATAGGTTTTTCAATTAGGCCTAATTGTTTTTTATCCATGTGGCTGCATGTATCAGTATTTTGTTCCCTTTTATTGCTGTACAATAATATTTTTTAGTATATGAATGTACCATAATTAATCCATCCATTTATCAGCTCAGGGACATTTTGTTTGCCATTATGAACATCGTTATACATGTTTTGTCATGAAAATTTGTTTTAATATAATGCAGGTAGATATTATTGGTGAAATTGCTGAGCTATATGGAAATTTTTGTTTATGAAAAACTGCCAAATTGTTCTCCAATGTACATGCACCATTTTTCATTACTACCAGCAGATTAGGAGGGTTTCAAGTACTTCATAGTGTTCCCAATGCTTATCATCTGTTTTTCATTACTGCCATTGTACTGGTGTAAAGTAGTGTCTCATTACTCTTGTATTCCCCTTATGGCTAAAAATACTGAGCATCTTTTCAAGTGCTTACTAGTCATTCACATATCTTATTTGGGGAAAGTTCTATTTCAAAATTTGAACATTTTGTTCTTTTTAAATTTATTTATTCATGATTAATAATACTACTTTATATGTTATGGTAACAATTTCTTATCAGATATATGATTTTCAAATATTTTCTTCCATTCTGGATAGGTTGATTTTTATACATTTTTGATGATACACTTTCAAGCACAAATGTTTAATTTTCGTAAAATAAATCTTTAATAATTAATTATTTACATATTCTACAGGAAATAATTTGGAAATTGGTATGTCTAGATCAGCTATTATCAATTCAGCATTTATTACTACTATCAATAATATTGCTATATAAGAAGGTATAGCCTAAATGAGTACTTTAAAGATATTTTATCAAGGAAAAATGCTAGAATAATAAATGATAAAAATAGTTTAAGAGAGGAAGGAAATTACTAGAAAATAAACATAAAACAAGTTGGAAAAATAGAAGAGAAAATACAGAATGAGATGTTAGATATAAATGTAAATGTACCAGTACTTATATGAAATCTAAACAAAGAAAAGACAAAATAATGATTATGGACATAAAACATTTGAAGAACACAATTTTAAAAAGTACCTATTCACATAGGATATGTGTATAGATATTCATATATAGCATATACACTTATTATATATAGGTACATGTGTGTGTGTGCTTATGTGTATAAACTATAAATACAAATTTATCGAGTATACAAAATAGTTACCTGAATCGAGCACATAATGTGTTATAGATCTCGACTCAGTAAATTTTAAAAGATTGAAAACCATAAAGATATATGCTCTAGCTATACTATGAGTAAGTTAGAAATAATCAAGTTACCTCTTTAAAAATAACAGTCCATTGGTGACTTCATAATAATTTTTCAGTGAAGTTTTACCATTTGAGCTGTTTACCTAGAATATGTCCATTTATCTTATGTATTTCCTACTTAACAGTTTATTTGAGAAGATATACAGCACATTTTAAAATTCTAAGAACAAACTGAAGAATAAGCACACTAAAACAGAGGAAATCCTAGGGGTGCTATCATACCAGGAAAAGCCTCTCTGAGAGATAACATTTAAGGACAAACTTCAAAAAGAGATACAAGAAAGCTTTGTGTGGTTTCAAGGAGGAATGCCTCAAGAGAGGGAGAGAGGGGATGAAAACTGTAAAGGTGCTAAGGTGAGAACATATTTTGTAGCTTAAAGGGTAATAAAAGGACAATGTGCCTAGAAGACAGTATGCATGGGGAAAGTGTTAGGACAGGAAGTTCTAGTATTAGATGATGTAGGGTCCTGTAGACCAAAGGAGAGATTCAGTTATATTCTTAATGAGATGGGAAGCCAGATGGAAATCTTAATCAGGAAAAGTGATGATGAGACATGGGTTTAAGAATAATGATTCGGAGTCCTGGGTAGGAAACAGAGAGTAGAAGACAGAAGAGTAAAATAGAAGCAGAGAGACTGCTTAGGAAGCAGTTCACTCACCAAGACACAATTCCCTTTTGAAAACATCAAGGTGATGTTTCTCAGATTTCATTTCCACTACCTTACTTATAGCACTTAGAATGATTCCAAATATTTCCTCTGCTTCAAAGATATTAACTTTCCAACAGACCTTCCATTTTCACATTTAAAAAGATTTCTTAATGATAAAATTCCAATTAAAAGCCAAACATATAACTTATATCAAAATATGACATATTAAGATGTTCAAATTTTTGTCAAGTTTATGGCATTTACTTTGAATCACTTATATGACACTTTTCAGAAATCTTTCATGAATTTGACATGTTTAGGCAATAAACTTAGTGTCAGTGTTGGAATCTTTATGTTATCTTTTTCGAGGTACAAAGAGAATGCTATGAAATTATCAAGAATTCAACATGATCAGCCAACAAAGCCCCTGGATCGAGCAGTCTTCTGGATCGAGTATGTCATGCGCCACAAAGGAGCCAAACACCTTCGGGTTGCAGCCCACGACCTCACCTGGTTCCAGTACCACTCTCTGGATGTGATTGGGTTCCTGCTGGCCTGCGTGGCAACTGCTATATTCATCATTACAAAATGTTGTCTGTTTTTTTGCCGGATGTTTACTTCAGCAGAAAAGAAGAAAAAAAGGGAGTAATTACACCTAGGCCTGATCATTCCATAATAAAGGGGTGCCCCATTGAAGAAGGGGACCCAAGTCCTAGTGAACATGCCAGCTATTAGGTGATCTAATGTACCTGTTCAAGAACAAGGAAAAATGAAAATGTTGATATTTTCACTGATCGTTCTTTAGTTAATTTATTCTGTGTATCAGATGGAGACACAACTTCTCAGTGACGATTTCCCTGGATTATTTTCCCTTCTCCTGATCTGTCTCAAAGCTGGGATTGTCATCCTAGACCTCAGTTGGTGAAAGTATTCTCGTCTATGATGTCTGAATTTGCAGGAGATCATTTCTCGGATCACCTACAGGTGCAATAAATAGCTCCACACTCAGAGAAGCCGTGTCTCCTTCTTGCCCCTCCCGCTATCAGATGTTATGTACCAGGTGACAGCAAGGAACCACGATCCTACCAGTGTCTTAGACACCAAGCGGGGTAAAATCTCTCTTATCAGGTATCATCCATTTCACTTTGTCAGTCCTCATGTTTGTAGTTGTTCCTGATGCCTTTTCTCACCTGGTCATTTATGGCATTCTCTGTTTTCATAAATCTATTGCCAAAGCTTTGCAATTCCATAAATAAATATAAATCTTACATCTGAAACATCACCCCAATTCATCAGGAAGTAGATTTATGACTATGTCACCCCTCCTCCCATAGATACAGAAGGGTAAAATTGACAGTGGGGAATATGTAACAGGGAAAGACCAAGAAAAGTCGAAATGTATTGCAAGATGTCTGTTTAAAACCTCCCCCACTCTTTTTGAGAATTAAAACCTCCATCCCTTCCCCAGGCCAGTGGTCAGGAGGGGCAGGGAAGTGTACTTACTTCTTCATATCACAGGACATGGCTCAATGGAACTATCCAGGCAGAGGTCACGAGATTGTCTTTGCTGGAGATGGGATTGATCATAGCCATCAACTGGAGTTAAACAGCAATATCTTGAAGCTGAATACCTTCCCTTTAAAAGCTCTGTATCTCTGCTAATAGAGAGGCAGCTGGCATTATAATACAAGAGTCTCCATCCTCCTCATTTGCCAACAAGTGAATAAACCTCCCTTTCCTTCTCTTCAGAACCCTTGTCCTGGTTCTTCCTATACAGCCTAAGGGACAAGTTCTCAATTTTGTGTAACACCCGGAGTCCCAACTAATCTGAAAGCATTGGGTGGAGGATGATTTAAGTGTTCTGGACTTAAGTGATCCTCCTGCCTCAGCCTCCCAAAGTGCTGGGATTATAGGCATGAGCCACCATGCCCACCCACATTTATAGTTTTTGAACAAGAGTGACAAAATTATTTAATGGAAAAAGAACAGCTTATATAACAAATTCAGGTTAGAAAATTGATTATCCACATTCAAAAGACTAAAGTGAACCCCCTACCTCAAATTCTCAAAATAGATCAAAAATTTGTTTAAGGGCTAGAACTATAAAACTCTAAGAATAAAACATAAAGATTAATCTTTGTGACCTTATATTTCCTATTAGTTTCTTAGATATGGCACCAAAAGCAAAAGCAATCAAATTAAAATAGATAAATTTGACTTCATCAAAATAAGCAATTTTGTGTTTCGAGGGACATCATCAAGAAACTGAAAAGAAAACAACCAAATTGGACAATATATTTGCAAATTATATGCCTACTGATAAACTTTTATAAAAATGTATTTAAAAAAACACAATTCAATAGACAAATAAGCAAATCAAAAATAGAATAAGGATTTGAATAAAAATTTATGTGAAGAAAAAATATGCAACAGCTGAAAAGCACAAGAAAAAGAGCTCAACCCCTTTAGAAAATAATGAGATATCACTTCACTGCCACTGACTATAATCAAAAAATATATAACAAAATGTTCTTGCAAGGAGGTGGAGAAATTGAAAACCTCGTATATTGCTGGTGGGAATGGAAAATGGTGCAGCCATTGTGGAAAACATTCTAGGAATTCCTCGAAAGGGTGAACGTACAAGTAGCATATGACCCAGTAATTCTACTTCTAGGCATATACCCAAGAGAAATCAAAATATGTACACACAAAGCCTGTACATGAATGTTAATAAGCAATAAAAACACTATAACAATGTTAACAAAAAATTAATAACATTCGTGTTTATTAAAAGTATTAACACAAGAGTTTACATTAATAATATATTAATAATTTTGGCTTTTATGAAAGCCAAAAATTGAACAAAATCAATGTCAGCTAATTATTAAATGAATAAATAAAATGTTTATATCCATATGATAGTACATTATTTGGCAATTAAAAAAGGAATGAAGTCCCTATATAAGGGACACCACGCACCATCCTTTTTAAACATTATCCATTAAGTGAAAAATGGAACTCGTGAAGGACCACATAGTTATAATCGTATTTATCAAACTGTACAAAAAATTAAAATTTATAGATACAGAAAATAGATTATTGGTTGCTAAGGGCGGGGGGATGGAGAAATGCAGCGTGGGAATAATAAAGCTCAAGGGCACAGGGATTCTTTAAGGGAGATGAAACTACTTGTTCTAGGGAATGTGCAGTTCTATGAACACACTTAGGAAACATTACATTTTAAAAAATAATGATGAATCATATGGGATATACATCACCTATCAACAAAGTTTTACTAAAACAAATCTTCGAGCAATGATATTCAAGAAATATTGACTCAGCTGCATAATTGCTTTATTTCTACTTCTGTGTCAAGGGACTACACACCAAGGAGCCTTTCACTTGCCATAATTTTTGACACTATTCTAAAATACATTACATACAGGGGTAGGAGCCAAGATGGCGGATGAGAAAAGCAGCCAGTCAGAATTTCTCTGCAAAAAAGACAAATTTTTGAAGAAAGAAAAAAAATAAATTAACAGAGAAACATAGATCGGGTTAGGGTCAGAAGGAAGGGTTCCTGAAACTACAGGAGACTCCACGGGAGGATGTTGCAGAGGAGAACTGGAAGGAGAAAGGTCCCCCAGAGTCTTGGAGACCAGCGACAAGGGTAGGTGGAGCAGATAACATTCCCCTCCCTTGCATCTCGGACTGCTGGTGGGCTCCTGAGCATTTGGAGAGACCTGCCCACACCAGCCCAGAGACGGCTTCCGCCAGTGAGCAGTGTCCTCTTGCGGATTTAGCACCGGGCTCCCAGCTCCCTCGGGGCACCTCCCCTGGTGCACACCCAAGCCTATCAGCAGATTCCATATTGCTCCATTCTCTCCTTCCCCTTCCCTAGCCATGGGTGCCCAGAGAGACAATTTAGCCATCACATGGAGGCAGATCTAAGGTAAGGGCCTCTACTTTTGGGGCCCTACAGCAGACTGAGGAGTACTGAGACTGCGAGCTCCCTACCCACCAGCCCTCCTAGGTGCTGCTTGCCTGGGGACTCCAAGAGAGCGGGGCAAATCCCGAGGTGGAGTGAAATCCATCCAGCTTGGGCACCCTGTAGGTGATTCGAGACCAGCACCCCTCCCCCAGGCAGGGTCAGGGATTGATCTCCAGGGCCCAAGGGACAGGCCTGCAGACCAGACCCCATATACCCAGGTCACAATCGCACTGTCCCGGGGCACAGAAGGAAGATCTGTGAAAGAGCCTACTGAGGGGTGTGTGCCTTCAGGGGCAGATCAGCATGCCTGAGTGGCAACCCTCCTCCCAAAACAGGTCTGTGCACCCAGCTCAGGCTACAATCCTGGGTAGAGAACCTCCCAGCCCACGTCACAGCCAGGGGAGATCCATCGGCCTGAGGTCTCGCTTGCTGGCAGAAGCCTGGGAGAAGCCACAGAGAGGGGGAGGGTGTAAGGGAGCGAGATCTGCTCCAGAGCGTGGGTCTCTGACAGCCCCACCCCCCAAGCCCAGACTTTAAGCTGAGTGGAGCCATTTCAGCCCCTCCCGGCAGTTTTGCACGGAAACAAAGAACAGACCTTTGTCCCTGCTAACAGCTGTTGTGGAGCTTGAGGGCAGGCTTACCCAACCCAGCCCTGCCCAGACTCACTTCCGGTCCTGTACCCACTGTGGTGGAGAATAAGGGCAAATCTGGAAGTCCCATGGTCCCACCCACAACCTGAGGCACAAGAGGGCCTCTCTAGAGGAACAAGAGCTGTCTACGGGATCCAAAAACAGCACTGCAGCTCGCTCTTCCCAGCAAGTGCCACCTACTGACAGGGAGGTCATCCTGCACACCCTTTTACTGCATCTACTGATTCATCATAAAGGGTGTGGTTGAATGTCACCCACAAACACCACCTACTGGCTCAGAGACTAAACAGGATGTATCATTATCCAAATGAAAATCTAAAGGCAAGAAGGACAATTGATCAAGATGGGAAGGAACCAGCGAAAGAACTCTGGAAGTATGAAGACTCAAAAGGAAAGCACACCCCCAAGAGGAACAACAGCTCCCCAGCAATGGACATTAACCAAACTCAGAACAATCAAATCACAGAAGAAGAATTTCAAACATGGATTGTAAGGAAACTCAATGATATGCAAGAAAAAATGGATTATCAACACAAAGAAACCACAAAAAAAATCCAGGACTTGGAAGAAAAAATTCACTAAAGAAATTGAAATATTAAAGAAAAATCAAACCAAGATCCTAGAAATGAAGGACTTATTCAGGGAACTACAAAACACGGTGGAAAGCCTCAAGAACAGGGGAGATCAAACAGAAGAAAGAATCTCAGAGATTGAAGACAATTCCTCCCAATTAAATAAGTGAGTCACAGAGATAGAGAAGAAAATTAAGAGAAAAGAAATAAGCCTACAAGAAATGTGGGATTATGTGAAAAAAATGAAACCTGAGGGTGATAGGGGTTCCGGCAGGTGAAGAGGAAAACACTCAAGGGATGGATAGGCTATTAGAAGAATTAATAGAGGAGAATTTCCCAGGCCTTGCTAAAAATGTAGATATACAGGTACAAGAAGCTCAACGGACCCCAGGGAGATTCAATGCAAATAGGAAGACACCACATCATACAGTCATCAGATTGATCAAAATATCCACTAAAGAGGCCCTTCTAAGAGCTGTAAGGCAAAATAAACAAGTAACATACAAAGGAAATTGGATCAGAATAACTCCAGATTTCTCAACTGAAACCCTACAAGCAAGAGGAGACTGGGGCCCCATTCTCACTCTTCTGAAATAGAATAGTGACCATTCTGGAATCTTGTACCCTGAAAAACTAAGTTTCATATATAAAGGAGAAACAAAGACATTCTCAGATAAGAAAAGACTGAGAAAATTCACCAGGACAACACCAGCTCTCCAAAAAGTACTTAATACCGAATTACACAAGGATCAGCACAATAAACACTCTCGAATGTAAAACCACTCAGAAGTAAAAGATCAAAGGCTAGATTCCACAATGGCTCAAGGCAGAAAAGAAACCAACAAAATGCAACCCAACAGAAACAACAGTAATTCACCCCACTTATTGGTTCTCTCAATAAATGCGAAAGGCTTGAACTCCCCTCTCAAGAAACATAGGCTGGCTGAACGGATAATAAAAACAAGCCAAAAATCTGTTCTCTCCAGCAAATGCATCTAACCTGCAAGGATGCATTTAGACTCAAGGTAAAGGGGTGGAAATCAATATTTCAAACAAATGGAAGCCAAAAGAAGGCCAGTGTGGCAGTTTTGATCTCAGATAACTTAGTTTTTAAATCAACAAAATTAATGAAAGACAAAGAGGGTCACTATATAATGGTGAAGGGTACAGTTCAACAAGAAGACATAACAATTCTAAATATGTATGCACACAACTAAGGTGCACCCAGATTCATAAAGCAAACTGTACTAGATCTAAACAAATTGATAGACAGCAACACCATAATACTGGGATATTTCAACACCCCACTGACAGGACAGGACAGATCCTCCAAACAGAAAATTAACAAAGAAATAATGGACTTAAACAGAACTCTAGAACAAATGGGCTTGACTGACATTTACAGGACATTCTACCCAAAAACCACTGAATATATATTCTTCTCATCAGCTCATGGGATATTCTCTAAGATTGACCATATTTTACGGAACAAAGCACTTCTCAAAAAATTTAAAAAAATAGAAATCATACCATACATCTTCTCAGATGATAGTGGAATAAAAATAGAAATCAACCCCAACAGAAACTCTCATCTCTACGCAAAGTCATGGAAATTAAACAACCTTCTAAGGCCGGGAGCGGTGGCTCACACCTGTAATCCTAGCACTCTGGGAGGCCGAGGCAAGTGGATCACTCAAGGGCAGGAGTTCAAGACCAGCCTCAGCAAGAGCGAGACCTCGTCTCTACTACAAAATAGAAAGAAATGACTGGACAACTAAAAGTATTATATATAGAAAAAATTAGCCGGGCATGGTGGCACATGCCTGTAGTCCCAGCTACTCGGGAGGCTGAGGCAGTAGGATCGCTTGAGCCCA